ATACGTATGTCTGCGTATACACACATACACTGATACAAAAACATAGCACAGAAGTACAGTGCAAACGTATATACTAACACAAACACACCATCACGTAACCATACATATAAACAACAATATTTATGGAGAAATGTTTACTTAAAAACATGTTGCTGATCGTTTTTGTCTGTTACTTGTTTTCCTCTTCTACTGACTTGATTCTTCTATTAAATCTTGACTCTTTGTGCGCACTGTCCTTACATATGTATATAATCAAGCGCTCTTACTCGCACACACACACACACACACACACACACACACACACACACACACACACACACACACACACACACACACACACACACACACACACACACACACACACACTCACCCCTCACACACATTCATATATATACACTTATATATGTGTGTATGTCTGTTCATGTCTACAAACACACACGCACACGCACATAGACATGCACACACACACACATGCATACATATGCATATATATACATATATATGATATATACATATACAATGCATAAATATACCTATAAACGCACACACAAACACACATACACACACAATATATAAATATATATAATATATATATATATATATATATATATATATATATATATTATATACATATAGAATTCATAAACATACCTACAAACGCACACACACACATACACACAATATATATAAATATATGTAATATATGTTCGTGTGTGTGTGTGTGTGTATGCATATGTACACACACACACACACACACACACACACACACACACACACACACACACACACACACACACACACACACACACGCACACAATCACGCACACAATATATATGTGTGTGCGTATATATACTATATAGATATGTATATATCTAACTCTCTCTATTTAAATATACATAGTATCCTTGAACCGACTTTGGGTGCTCTCTCTCAACTTCCATTTCTACCCGAGTTTTACGAATTCCCCTATGCATTACGAAACATCACTCGATTTCACATATACCATTTCTTGTCTACATTGCCTTCTGTACACGCCAATATAGAATAAAAATGCAACAAGCTCACTTCTACTTCGGTCGCACTATTCGTGACGTCATACAGACCCAGCACGTGACGTCATACGACTCCAGCTCGTGATGTCACACGGCCACAGAAAAGTAGGTTTGTGGAACCGTTGGCGTTAGTCCTCATCGAGACGCTGAGCAGTGTTGAGTGTTTGCTCAGTAAAGGGTTGCCATTCACGTTCCGACGATAGCAGTACATAGCAGGAAATTGTGTGCAATGAATATGATTCCAAAAAGCATGATTGTAAATAGCTCTAAGAACAGATCGTTATATTTGTAACTATGTGTATGTCACAGAATATATGATATATCACGGATGTGCAAATGACGTAAAACCGTCTGTTCGAAAGTTTATTAACATAAGGGATAAAAACTATTTGCTTGAATGATTGTTTCATGAGGTAGTAAATGCGTTAAATGAACAAAACAGATGTTTAAATCCCACATGAATGTAGTAAATAGAAAGTAGGAAATTCGATTACAAAAGGCTTATGGGTATTGGTCCTATATCATTTATTATGTCTTTTCAGTAGTGTTTAGAAGAGAATTGCAGGAAAATGACATCGAAGAAAAACAATCCAAATATTTAACCAGTATTATATTATTGCTTTACACTGTTCTGACATGAAGATTTCAATAAAAATATGAATATTACTTTAGTATAAAAATATTTCACATGATTACTCCTCAGGAACAACAGTTGTAGTACTCTCAGTTGGTGTGAATTCCCCCTCGAAGCATGTATAGAAGATGCAGACCTCCCATTCCTTAATCTGGAAAGACGAAGGAAAATTAATAGACACTGAAATACAATGTGCACTGAGAAGAGTGAAATTGGTAGATCTGTATCACTGTACGAGACATGGTAATGAGTAGTCCTTAGACACATTGGCAGTGGAAAAGTAAGACTTACGCTTTCAGTCGAGCAGGACTCTGTACCATAAACAAGGCGGTCGAGGAGGTCAGGGCGGGTGTCGTTAAGGGCGGGTGTTAGCCTGTCCAAGAATGGCTGTGGGTCGACTGATCCGTCAGGCCTTAACTGTGGAGCGAAGGGGGGGGGTGATAAGGATCAGGAAAATAGGAGAAACCGATCATGGTATTAAAGCTACGGGGGAAATATGTAAAGTACAGTTATCAAGCAACATTTCCATATACATATAGTATACATTTCCCACACGGTGTCAAACATGAAAAGTGAGGGCACTTACCTCTCCACGCTCCTGCTGGATGCACTGCTTAAGTGCTACGTGGTTCTCCTTGGAACCAAAGAGCGCCAGAGCCTGCGTGTCTGTGGAACTGAACAGGACCTCAGGGTCCACTAGAGAGAGAGAGATTTTCATGTATAAAAGTTGTATAAAAAATAAATTTTCCCGTATTGTCACTACTAATTCCACTATAGTTATTAACAGTACTCATTGTGGTTATTTTATGAATATCTTATATACTTTATCTTGACTTATTTCACAATGTTTCTTATAAATACTATTAAAGTCATCCTGATATCAAGACTGAAAAAAATAGAAATAATAAATAAATGTGAAGCTGTAAGCTCACCGTCATCAAGATGGCTGAAGCCGTTTTTGTCGAGGCATTTCCTGTATATTTCGCTCCTAATTTGTTCATCATGTTCAGTTGCGAAGATGTTCTTGCAGACTTGCAGCTTTAAGAAAACATTAAAGTTGAATGAAATTAGTGCTAAATAAGACAAACTGTCCTAAACTATTTTATCATTAGTTTCCTGTTGCATAGAAACAGCAGCACTGACCCACTGAATTCCAATAAAGATAGGACGAGATTAAGCGAAGTAAAACAATACTCACATCAGCCTCACACGAGGTCACATTTTCAGCTCCCTCACACGATGCATCTGAAGGTAAGATACTGTTAGATAAGGAATATATGGTGTGAATGTGCAGTAGTCTCTCATATAGCTTTGCTTTAGTGTAAAAGAAATAGAGTTATTTACACTGTAACATTACAAGTTGTCCTTTCTCTGTGTCGCTCTCTCTCTCTCTCTCTCTCTCACACACTCGCCCTGTTTGCATGTGTACTTTTGCTATTAAAGAAAATAACAGTGAGAATGGATATTTACTTTTTAAGAAGTATGAAGGAGAGGCAGAAACTACGGCTACTGCAGCCAAGAAGGTCAAGGCTTTGATCATTTTCTGGAATAAAAACAGTACATACGTGTTAATCTGATCATATTGCGTAAGTGTTGGATAGAAATACAATAACAATTTATATCTTAATGTAACAAACACAATGTTGAACTTCGTTACTTCTCTATGAAAGCCATGTGAAAAAATATCAATGAGATGAGGTTCCATGTAGTTAAAAACCCTTGTAGTTCTTACCGCTTAAGTGAAGAGAGCAGACTGGATGAGCCTGGCAAATCGTCCCTTTTATATGAGTTGCGTGACTCAGTGTTGCTTGCTTGCGCGCGTCATCAGGAGAACACGTAGGGCGTGCATCCAAATTGCAGGAAGCAAAAGGAGGGAGGATGAGTAATATGCACATCTTACATTTTAAATACCACCACACACAAGTGTTTAGGATATATGCACATATATGTATATATATCATTTATATATATGCATACATATATATGTATGCATTTATATATACCTATCTACAGATATATGTAAATAGGTATTTATATATACATATGTATATATATGTATATATATATATATAGATATACGTATATATACACATACTTATGTCCAAATATGTATGTATGCATACTTATATATATACTGCCCTAGACAGGAAATAACATTCTGTTGCTTTAGGATAACTTCTAAAACATCCCTTGATGCCAAATCCAAGGATGTTTAATAGTGCGCGAAAGAGTATTGTGGAAGTGTTTGAAAAAAAATCGGGCGACTAGTTAAAGTCAGCAACAGACGAATCGCCAACAAGTGGCAATGAAAAAACAAAGGTTGAATCAGATTCTATCCCTCATCAGGTTCACTTTTCAGCAGCTAAAAAAAAGGATAGTTCTAGCATGAGCCACTCGTGGGGCATTTGCTTGAACTTAAACACACATATATATATGTGTGTGTGCATACGCACACACACACACACACACACACACATATATATATATATACATATATATACACACGTGTGTGTGTGTGTACACAGTCGTGCTCAGTATATACGTAAATATATTTACTTTACAGTCTGCATGTAAAAGATGTAAGCAAATACGTATTGGACATTGTACACCTTGCAAGTAGAACAAAGAAGGGAAGCACAAGAAAACACACGAATATGCCGAAGGCCTTTTCGCATTTACTGCTTCATCAGGGCATACAGAACAAGAGATACATAGAAGTATATATACATGTATATGGCGGTCAGGTCACGTCGGTGATCAGGTGAGCGACGACCTTGGCTAGTCTGTGGCTTCACGTTGCGGTGTTGAAGTTGTTAGTTGAGTGTATGTATGCCGCTTCTACCATCTTCCTTTGTCGTGGGGGCAGGCCTTGTTTCATGATGGAGGCCTGGGACCACTTAGGGAGATGGCCGTCGGTGTCGACGTGAACAACGAAAGCGCTCCTCGTGTCGTGTCGTAGGAGGGCGCGAAAGAACAGAACAGTGGTGATAATGACAATAGAGAAAATATCGTTGTTCTGGGACTTTAAAAAAATATCTCTATATATGAATAGATATGTATATATATTCATCCCCCCCCCCACATATATATATACATATACATAATATACAATGTATATATATTCATTATATAATATACACGTATGTCTAGATATGCATATTTTGTAATATATATTTATATGTAAAAACACTGGCATATATATCTAGATGTCTATATCTGTAAATATATATGTTTGTATATATATATATGCCCACAAAATGGAAATATGAGGAAAATATAATTACAATATGATTATGGGTATTGGTATTCATTTATTATTCTCCAGGATAGCTCTAGCATGAGCCACTCGTGGGGCATTTGCTGGAAATTACATATATATATCTGTATGTGTGCATATGTTTGTGTATGCGCACACAGTCGTGGACAGTATATACGTAAACATATTTACTTTACAGTCTGCATGTAAAAGATACAAACAAATATGTATTGAACATAGAATGCGAAGGAGTTCGTGACCTAAAACCGAGTAATACTATATCGGATAAATCAGAAACACATTTTGCAACGACTCAGGTCATTCCAGTAAAAGCTAAAAGATGCAGCCACGGAAAATTGCAGTTTTGTCATAAGAATGAAAATAGATCATAAGTGGGCCGGATCAATCCTAGGGATTGTAATAGAAAAGATTATTTTTCAATTATAAATAAACGATGGTGATAATAATGACAGAAAATATCGTCGTTCTGGGACTTAAAAGAATATCTATTTATCCATCTCTATTTATACACACGTATATAATGTATCTATATATACATTATATAAATAATATCTATCTATATACATAAGTATAGATATGTATGTTTTCATTCACATCCCCCCATATATATATATATATATATATATATATATATATATATATATATATACATATACATAATATACAATGTATATATATACATTCATTATATAATATACATGTATATCTATATATGTATATTTTGTAATTAGTATTTATATGTATAAACACTGACATATATATCTAGATGTCTATATATGTATATTTATATGTATGTATATATATATATATATATGCACACAGAATGGAAATAGAATGAGGAAAATATAATTACAATATGATCATGGGTATTGGTATTTATTTATCATTCAAAAATAGTGTCTGTATTGTGTACATAGATTTCATTTTTAAGAACAGATCTTCAGGAAACATGTAGAGAAAACAGTAATTCCAAGTCTTTCATAATGATTATCTGATTAATCTACATTGTTGTGGCATGAGCTGAAGTGTGGAAATATTTCGCATGATTACTCCTCAGGAACAACAGTTGTAGTAGGCTCAGTTGGTGTGAATTCCCCCTCGAAGCATGTATAGAAGATGCAGACCTCCCATTCCTTAATCTGGGAAGAGGAAGGAAAATCAATAGGCACTGAAATACAACGTGATGGCAAAGTGGGGACGCAAAATGTGAATACAGAAACTTAGAAGGATCAGAGAAGAGTGAATGAAATTGGTAGATCTGTATCAATGTACGAGACATGGTAATGAGTAGTCCTTAGACACATTGGCAGTGGAAAAGTAAGACTTACGCTTTCAGTCGAGCAGGACTCTGTGCCATAAACAAGGCGGTCGAGGAGGTCAGGGCGGGTGTCGTTAAGGGCGGGTGTTAGCCTGTCCAAGAATGGCTGTGGGTCGACTGTTCCGTCAGGCCTTAACTGTGGAGCGAAGGAGGGGGGGGGGTAATGATCAGGGAAATAGGAGAAACAGATCATGGTATTAGAGCTACGGGGAAAATATGTAAAGTACAGTACAATTATCAAGCAACATTTCCATATATATATATAGTATACATTTCCCACACGGCTGTCAAACATGAAAAGTGAGTGCACTTACCTCTCCACGCTCCTGCTGGATGCACTGCTTAAGTGCTACGTGGTTCTCCTTGGAACCAAAGAGCGCCAGAGCCTGCGAGTCTGTGGAACTGAACAGGACCTCAGGGTCCACTAGAGAGAGAGAGAGATTTTCATGTATAAAAGTTGTATAAAAAATATAATCTTTTCCCGTGCCGTCACTACTAATTCCACTAGTTATTAACAGTACACTTTATGACTATTTTATGGATATCTTATATACCTTATCTTGACTTATTTCACAATAATGTTTCTTATAAATATATTAAAGTCATCCTGATATCAAGACTGAAAAAAATAGAAATAATAAATAAATGTGAAGCTGTAAGCTCACCGTCATCAAGATGGCTGAAGCCGTTTTTGTCAAGGCATTTCCTGTATATTTCGCTCCTAATTTGTTCATCATGTTCAGTTGCGAAGATGTTCTTGCAGACTTGCAGCTTTAAGAAAACATTAAAGTTGAATGAAATTAGTGCTAAATAAGACAAACTGTCCTAAACTATTTTATCATTAGTTTCCTGTTGCATAGAAACAGCAGCACTGACCCACTGAATTCCAATAAAGATAGGACGAGATTAAGCGAAGTAAAACAGTACTCACATCAGCCTCACACGAGGTCACATTTTCAGCTCCCTCACACGATGCATCTGAAGGTAAGATACTGTTACATAAGGAATATATAGTGTGAATGTGCAGTAGTCTCTCATATAGCTTTGCTTTAGTGTAAAAAAGTAGCGTTATTTACACTGTAACATTACAAGTTGTCCTTTCTCTGTGTCGCTCTCTCTCTCTCTCACACACACATACTCGCCCTGTTTGCATGTGTACTTTTGTTATTAAAGAAAATAACAGCGATAATGGATATTTACTTTTTAAGAAGTATGAAGGAGAGGCAGAAACTACGGCTACTGCAGCCAAGAAGGTCAAGGCTTGGATCATTTTCTGGAATAAAGACAGTACATACGTGTTAAGCTGATCATATTGCGTAAGTATTGGATAGAAATACAATAACAATTTATATCTTAATGTAACAAACACAATGTTGAACTTCGTTACTTCTCTATGAAAGCCATGTGAAAAAATATCAATGAGATGAGGTTCCATGTAGTTAAAAACCTTGCAGTTCTTACCGCTTAAGTGAAGAGAGCAGACTGGATGAGCCTGGCAAATCGTCCCTTTTATATGAGTTGCGTGACTCAGTGTTGCTTGCTTGCGCGCGTCATCAGGAGAACACGTAGGGCGTGCATCCAAATTGCAGGAAGCAAAAAGAGGGAGGATGAGTAATATGCACATCTTACATTATAAATACAACCACACACACGTGTTTATAGATATATACACATATATGTTTATATATCATATATATATGTATAGACATATGTACGCATTTATATATGCCCATCTACAAATATATGTAAATAGGTATTTATACATACATACATATATAAGTATATATATATATGTATATAGATAGATAGATATACGTATATATACATACATATACCTATATACAAATATGTGTATATGCATAAATACGCATATACTATGCTAGATAGGAAAGAGCATTCTACTGTTTTAGCATAACTTCTAAAATATCCCATGTGTAAAACAAGACTGTTTAATAGTGCGCAAAAAACAGTTGAAAGCACTTTAGAAGTGTCTGATAAAAATCAGGTGACTAATTAAATTCAGTACCAGATGAATCGCCAACAAGTGGCAGTGAAAGAACAAAGGCTGAATCAGATTCTCTCCCTCATCAGGTTCAGTTCTCAGCGGCTGAAAAAAGATGGCGATTCCCCAGGATAGCTCTAGCTTGAGCCACTCGTGGGGCATTTGCTTGAACTTACAAATATATATCTGTATGTGTGGATATGTGTGTATGTGCGCGCGCGCACACAGTCGTGGACAGTATATACGTAAATACATTTACTTTATAGTCTGCATGTAAAAAAAATGCAAATGAATATGTATTGGACATTGTACATCTTGCTTTATCCGCAAGTAGAGTGCGAGGGAGTTCGTGGCCTAAAACCGAGTAATATCACATCGGATATATCACAAACACATTTTGCAACGACTCAGGTCATTCCAGTAAAAGCTAAAAGATTCAGCATTTTTTTTTCTTGTGACCGCAGACGACGCGGCCACGGAAAATTGCACAGTTTTGTCATAAGAATGAAAATAGATCATAAGTGGGTCGGGTCATTCCCTGGGATTGTAATGGAAAAGATTATTTTTCAATTATAAATAAACGATGGTGTAATAATGACAATAGAGAAAATATCGTTGTTCTGGAACTTTAAAAAATCTCTATCTTTATATATACATATAGATATGTATATATATTTATTCACCCCCCCATATATATGTATATATATACATATACATAATATACAATGTATATATTTTCATTATATAATACATGTATGTCTATGTATGCATATTATGTAATATATATTTATATGTATAAACACTGACATATATCTAGAAGTCTATATAAGTACATATATATGTATGTATATATATGCCCACAGAATGGAAATAGGAAGAGGAAAATATAATTACAATGTGATCATGGGTATTGGTATTTATTCATTATTCAAAAATAATGTCTGTATTGTGTGCATAGATTTCATTTTTAGGAACAGATCTTCAGGAAACATGTAGAGAAAACAGTAATTCCAAGTCTTTCATAATGATTATCTGATTAATCTACATTGTTGTGGCATGAGGAATTCAACTGAAGTGTGGGAATATTTCGCATGATTACTCCTCAGGAACAACAGTTGTAGTAGGCTCAGTTGGTGTGAATTCCCCCTCGAAGCATGTATAGAAGATGCAGACCTCCCATTCCTTAATCTGGAAAGAGGAAGGAAAATCAATAGACACTGAAATACAGCGTGATGCCAAAATGAGGAGCAAAGAATATGTTAATACAGAAAGATTAAAGACAATGAAAATGCTTAATCCGGATGCCTGTGAGACATGATAACGAATTCTTACAAAAGCGTAATGTCGGTGGAAAAGTAAGACTTACGGTTTCAGTCGAGCAGGACTCTGCGGCAGGAACAAGGCGGTCGAGGATGTCAGGGCGGGTGTCGTTAAGGGCGAGAGTTAGCCTGTCCAAGAATGGCTGTGGGTCGACTGTTCCGTCAGGCCTTAACTGTGGAGCGAAGGAGGGAGGGGGGGGGGGGTTGAAGATATGAGGAAACAAGTCATCCGATTATAGTTATTTACTTACAAGGAACAATCACGGTAACAGATGCAGGAACAAAATATTTAAAACAAGTACAGCATCCTTAAATAATTTGCAGTCTCCTCGAACTATTAAGTAACGTTCCCATATGTACAGTATTGTACATTTCCTACATGGCTAGCAAACACCAAAATTCGGTGCCATACCTCCCCATGCTCTTGCAGGACGCACTGCTTCACTGCTAGGTGGTTCTCCTCGGAACCAAAGAGCGCCAGAGCCTGCGAGTCTGTGGGACCGAAGAGAGACTCAGGGTCCACTAGAGAGGACACACTAATTAATAATCTGTCTTTTGTTTCCATGTACAATGTATAAAAGATCTGATAAGTCCCTATATCATTACTATTGTCATTATCAACAGCGCAAGTTATTAATACTATTCTTTATGAATATTTTAATGATTATCATTATCATAATATACCATATCTTTACTTATTTTGCCAGGATGCTATTTATCATAAATATCATTGAAGTCATCCCGGTACATGGATATCACTGCGCCTTGAAAAATAATTGTGAGCTATTAACCTCACCGTCATCAAGATGGTTTAGGCCGTTCTTGTCGAGACATTTCTTGTATATTTCTCTCCTGATTTGATCATTATATTCAACTGCGAAGACATTCTTGCAGACTTGCAGCTGCAAAAAAACACCAAGGGTATTTAGGAATTACAACACTGCTAAAAAGGAAATACTATTAAATTATTTTGCATAATCAATGTTTTATAAAGATTAATGAGCTCAGTAATGCTTCCTGTTGCATAGATACAACAGCACTGACCCAAAAAAATAGTAAAACAAAGTCAAAGAAAACGAAATGAAACAGTTCTCACATCAGCCTCACACAAAGTCACATTTTCAGCTCCCTCACATGAGACACCTGAAAATAAAATATTGTTAGATGCGAAATATATAATGCTTATATAAAGGTATCAGTATGGAATAGCGCTTCATATAGTTTTACCCTTGTTCTTTATTCACTTTGTAAACATTTGGTTACAGTAGTGTTTATATTGCAAATTGTCCTTTTTTTGTCTCATCTACTCTTTATGCGCACTTTTACTGTTAAAGAAAGGGACAGGCAGACGAATTACTTTTTAAAAAATCGTGAGGAGAGGCAGAAATTGCAGCCACTGCAGCCAAGAAGTTCAAGACTTTGATCATTTTCTGGAATACAGACGACATCTGTTAATCTGATCATATTCTGGAAATGGTGACTAGGAATACAGCCATTATTAGGATCGTAATACAACAAAAAACAATTTTGAAAGTCGTTACATCTCTAGACTTACATGACAACCCTTTGCAAATCATGTCAAAAAAAAGAGATGAGCTTCCATGCAGTAAAAGCTCTTGTTGTACTTACCGCTAAGGTTAGCAGAAACAGACTGAATGAGCTTGACAAAGCTTCCTTTATATATGAGTTGCGTGACTCAGAGTTGCTTGCTTGTGCGTGTCACCAGGAGAACAAATAAAACATGCATACAAATTGCAGTGCAACTTGCGCATTTTGATGCTAGGTAGTTGAAGGAGGGGATTATCCGTAAACAAATCTAAAAAACTGACCTTTAAATGTATTTGTGATATGTGTACGTCTCATAGAATCTGCTATATTAAATAAATCTGCAAAGGACATAAATACTTTCGTATATATATATATATATATATATATATATATATATATATATATATATATATATATATATATATATATATATATATATATATATATATATATATATATATATATATATATATATATATATATATATATATATATATATATATATATATATATATATATATATATATATATATATATATATATATATATATATATATATATATATATATATATATATATATATATATATATATATATATATATATATATATATATATATATATATATATATATATATATATATATATATATATATATATATATATATATATATATATATATATATATATATATATATATATATATATATATATATATATATATATATATATATATATATATATATATATATATATATATATATATATATATATATATATATATATATATATATATATATATATATATATATATATATATATATATATATATATATATATATATATATATATATATATATATATATATATATATATATATATATATATATATATATATATATATATATATATATATATATATATATATATATATATATATATATATATATATATATATATATATATATATATATATATATATATATATATATATATATATATATATATATATATATATATATATATATATATATATATATATATATATATATATATATATATATATATATATATATATATATATATATATATATATATATATATATATATATATATATATATATATATATATATATATATATATATATATATATATATATATATATATATATATATATATATATATATATATATATATATATATATATATATATATATATATATATATATATATATATATATATATATATATATATATATATATATATATATATATATATATATATATATATATATATATATATATATATATATATATATATATATATATATATATATATATATATATAT